CCCCAAAACCCCAAAACCCCAAAACCCCATGAAATTAAGCGAATTTAAAGAGATTTGCAATTGATAATTAGATATTAAGATTAATGTATATACTAGACCTTTAAATTTTGAATAATCATGATAAAATTTAATAAATAATCTACTTCCCTGCCTTAAATAACTTAAATATTTACTAATTATTTAGCCAATATTTTTCTTAAATATCATCGATAAATTTCATATAAGTTTCCCATTAACAATATTTTTTTGAAAAAGCATTTAGAGTCTATATCATTCAAGATATTTAAAGTCAATAATTGAAGTCATTAAGATTGTCATTATCTTTATTTTTATCTGAAATTAGAGACTGTTTTATTTTGAAATTGCAAAAAATATAAATCTCTATCTTCAAAAATCAAGTAATGGTTTACGAATAAAAAACAATTAGCAATTCAAATTTGGAAAGTTTAAAGTGACATTTGATTCCCTTTTCAATATAATTCTTATATCTAAGGATAACTAATCAATCTATATGCATTTTTTTCGATTAAAATCAATTATCATTTATTTTTCAAGGAGAGCATCATTACTCCAAAATGTGCCACAATAATTTTTCAAAAAATCAAGATTATTATTTTCTTTGAAGTTTGTAGCATTTTTTTAAGTATTATCCACTTTCAAATAACATTATAATCAAATTAGCTAATCTCAATGTCAATATATTCGGCAGATTCAGATCTCAATAATTCTTGAAATTTCAAATAGAATTGTAGAAATTGATTTTATTGGATCTGAGGGCTATAAATTTCTGCTTGTTAAAAACTATATTAAATTTAAATTCAAATGTTTCATAAAACTATACTTACCGCTGCAATACTTCTGGGGGCCTGCACTTCAATTCAGATCAGTGATGCAATATAGAAGCAAAGATCTCAGCTTAAGTGGAGATAAGAAGCAACCAATACTTTCAACTGGAATGCAACTCAAAAACTTTCGTGGTCCGTAGTTAACGCTTTCATTGATGTCTAGACCAGTCCAGACGGAGATGTTTATGCCATTCAAAGTATCCAAACCGAAAGTGAAACCAAGAAGTACTTCGTTTACCTTTACAATATCACATCCAATATCTGGACTCTAACTGATGCTAGCTTTTAAGCAAAGGCTGTTAGATTCGACAGACTTGGAAATATTTACTATTTGGACTAAGATAATTGCATCCTCAATTCTAGGAAACAGAAGATAATCTGTGGGGCATTTGACTTTGAAGTCACTGTTAAAAGAGAGATCTATTTTCTGCATGATGGTCTTAGCCCATTACCTAAAGATTCTCTATCATCTCCATGGAGAGATGTTGGTGTTGAAGACTATAAGTACAAGTCCCTCTCTGGTTATAAGGGCATTACATTGTTGAAAGACTAGCCCATCTTGATTTAGAGCGATGGAACTGTGGACTCCAATTACAATGGGGAAAAGCTTGTTAGTATCAGTGCTGGTATCGATGGTTCTTTGTGGGCCTTAAAGCAAGAGGAAAATGTAATTAGCTATCAAGTTCTCAAATGGTAAACAGTTGCATAGAAGTGGTACATAGTTTCGGGCGCTAGGGGAGTAAGTCTCTCAGCTTACAATGAAATCTCAGTAGCAATAGTAGATGAGAAAGGTCTGCTAAGTCTTTCATCTTAGGTAGGACATCAAGATGAGGCATAATATCTTGCTAAAGCACCAGTGATTCCAGAGATTATCGGTTAGCCAACAGACTCATTCGTTAGTTTCGAAGCATTTAAGGCATTTGCTGAATAAGTAAATACAGCCTTTGCTAAAAACATTAAGTCTCTTACTCAAGTCTTTAATTCTAAAGCGAATGAAAAATAACGTGATGATGCTATGGATGCCATAGTTAATAAGAAAAACATCTTTGGCTTCATCAAAACAAAAGCTGGCTCAATTCTAGGATTCTATTACGAAGATCCGATAGACACAACTTCTCCTTTAATAGGAAGAATATTTACAAATACTATGATTTTTGGAATCTCAAGCGGGTTTTTCTCAATAAAAGAGCCTAGTAGTTCATACTAAACATATTTTGGACCATTTTTTGAAGGAAACTATTACATGCAAGTCATCACAACTCCTAGAGCAAGACTAGCATTTTTCCCATAATGTTTAAATGCTGGTACGTCATCTAATCAAGCTCAGTGCTATAGTAAATCTAATCCTGAAGAAAAAGCTTATTGCTATTGGACACTCTTAAAACCCTTTGGTGATGATAGTGCTGATTTTGAATGTGAACAAATAGAATATTATCAAGGCAATGAATGAACTATGATAGTATGTAATATTAGTTCTTCTCAATTAAATAAATTCTATTAATATGACTATGATAGTCTATTGATTGATTGATAATTAATCTAAATGATCATTTAATTGATTTAAATTTCAAAATCTACTTCATTTCAAACAAATTCATCCTTATGGGGTTTTGGGGTTTTGGGGTCAGAATTCCAATGCTTATAGCTGTCAAGAGTA